AACGCTTAGGTTAAAATCTCCCCTGGAACACACACACACACACACACACACACACGCACGCACGCTCAGTGGCAAAGGGCAAGGTCTTTCTGTTTATTATCTGCATTTGTGAATGACCAAAACACGCTAGGGTTTTTTGTCCCGCCAATGCGAAAATGTTTCTTTCTTTCTTTGCCTGATTTATCGACACATGCGTTGCGTTACGGATTTGTCAAAAAAGTCGCATTAATCTAGCTCAGAAATCCAGTTATTTGGGACACGAATGAATAATGCATATTTTCTGGTTTGAAAATGGGCCTTAACAACAACTGAATCACCAAACAGAGAAACATTCTTTGACTCAGAGGTGAGGAAACACAGGAAACATTCTGACAAAGGAAGGAGCACACGCTTACAAAACTTTTGATATCTTGTGTTATGAAAAAATGTTCTAGTCAAGGACAATTTATGAATCCTTAAGGACTTGGAGGGAAAGATAGGATAGAGGGGTACATTTAGGATGCGTTACAAAGAAAGGACATCAAAGCAGAGAGGACACCGAAGGAGAAAAAGTTATAAAAAAGGACAGTAGAAGAGGACAGAGTAGAAGAGACGAGCAGCGTTGCCGACAGCTCTGCTGAAAGTTTCATGAGTGCAAATGGCCTCATATACCTACCAGGTGACAGACTGTGTCAAAGAAGGTGTAGTGCGTGTTTGTGTGATGTCTTAATGGGCGTGTTAAGGGGGGACGCGATCCAAAGGACATTGTAAAACATCAAATATTTAAAGGATGGATTACAAGTACATTGTGTACTCGAGCTACTGTCAAGGCCCAACAAAGCAACAACTCTCTTTAAAAATGCATTACTTGTTTCTGTGTTAGACACAATGTAGCATGGTGTACGCATAAGTACTTGTGTTTGACGATATATTGTCTCAGAAAGAAATGCGATAAACGATGTAAGTGTTATTTTCATTAAGTCTAATTTCGCCTAAACCCAAACTGTTCCCACAATGGAGCTGTGGAGTGCTTTGAACCTAAATCCTTTTGGACCATGTGGCTTAAATAAGGTCAGATGTATGGATTTATACGATTGCATTAGTATACGGATGCAGCGCAACAGTTCTGGGAAAAACACCCATAAAACCTTGACGTGAGTTACAACTTTCCCTGGATCACTGTTGCTGTGTGTGTGGAGGTGTCTTATAGTAGGGATAAAAGCAGAATAAATCAGCAAAATAATTCTAAATTATAATGAATACAACTTAAACTGCCCAGGGGTGTTAACTCATCCATCACTGTAGCCACTGTGCTGACGCTGTCAATGCTTAAGTTACGCTCAGGAAAGGAGACATGAAATGTAACTGAAAGTCCGGACAAGGTATTATTTTTTTTATGACGCTGTAAATCCATTTCTTTCTAAGCATTACTTTCTGTTCTCTGTCTATATTTCTATGCCAGTCTCTCTGGATTTTTTCCATCCTTTCCGGCTTTTTCCTTGAGTAGGATGATGATTAGATTTGTCGCTGAGCTCTTCACTGCCGACGAAAATGAACTGCTTGTTACTATGGACACCATGCAAAGCTCATGTATAGTGGAGACCATTATACAGCGTGTTAACCACAAGCCTGAGGTAATTATGTGTTAATTTCCTTTTTTGTATTGAGTATTGTAAAGGGCACCAACTCTGATTCCAATGCAATTCTTTTCACGCCTGTCCAAGAAAATATTTCTTCAGATAACCACTTCTCTACGCCTTCTCACTTACCCTGTCAATCAATGAATCAAAGTTCATACTATCTACACCTAAAACCTGCAAGATGTTCCTACTGAGTTCTACACCTCGAGATATTTCTGTCTCTACTACCAATTGGCTTTGGTTCTGTCGAAAGAAAAAAAAGAACCTTCCTAAATGGGAGAGCACTGGCCTTTGTTGTAAGGACTGATTCAACCCTCCAGAGTAAAGCGTAATGGCTATCAGTAATTATAAGCGATGGCTGACCAGGAAGTGGGTTCATGAAGACAGAGTGGTACTGTTGGGTCAGCCGAAGCGTCCTTTCTCGATCCCAGGTGTCCACATAAGTCTTGGGGGTGCACTTAAACTCTAGGACTTAAAGTGTTTTGGACTGGTTTCAGGTTTGCTAGTAGCTGGAACAAAACCGTCTTATGTACAGTAATTGAGAAAAAAGAAATTGATCATTTACTGTAAGTTGGAGGCATTGGTAGGGCTAACATTTATTGGTTTGAAATTCTTAAACTGAATGATTACAATTAGGTAATTATGTCTCAAAAGTTGCACCCTTTGCTTGCAGTAAGGTAAAACATTATATCGTTTTTTATCCTCAAGCCGCCAATAAGGTTCTATCAGAATTCAGGAGACAAACTACAATTGACACCAAAATGAGGTTGGTGTTTTAATTCAAGTAAAGCAAGAAAAGAGAAATACCATCCTTGGCTCTTACCTGTCAGTTGCAATCTTTCTCATTCTGTCCAAAGTTCAGTCAGCTAAAGTTCACAAAGCTTCAGACTCATGAAGATTTAGAGTCATTCAGTGTTTATCCATGCAAGCTAGGGTTTATTGAAGACTGAAGACTGAGCACTGCAAATTGGCATTATTTAAATATTTTAAGTCTTTTAAAATTCTGTCTATTTTTACTTCGCGCTGTCAACCCTTTCTTTCATCCCCGTCTTATACTACCCCACTTTACTCTTTTATCTCTTACCCATCTCCATTAGCTTCCTCTTGCCCATTTACTCACTCCTCAAGGTCTTCTACAGCACTCAGCTGCAATCCAAAAAGTGCATAATTTACATGGTTTCAAATAATGCATTGGCGTAAATGGGAAACCACATTATAGGTTTATGCGATTTGACCGGATTTGGTTCAACACAACATTGGTTAGCCATGATAATTGCCCTCGTGTCCACAACAATAAACAGTGATTAATTATGCAACACTGCTATTTTCAGTCTCTATTTGTTTGTATCTATAGCCTTTACTTGGGTGGGAAGCTTAGATTTATCTACAGATTTCAATTTGGCTAGATCTGGCAAGCCATATCAGGATTTATTTTATGTTTAATCCGCCTAAGAGCAACATCAGTGGCTTTGGACAGGCTTTGAGTGAGATGGGACGCATATATGAGGATCATTCTAATGCAGAACCCACATTGATTTTTTCTTGAATAGATATTGTGAGTATTCTTAATTTTTATTCCAGTATACTTTCATGAAAAAATAAAGATTAGTAGTAATCAAGTGTAAAATATCGTGACGCAATGTTATTTCATTGTAGTGTTGCCCCTCCCCCTTGTCTGGTTATTAAAACATATGAATAACAAGTCCAAAGGTATTTATAAGTTCAATGTATTCAGTTTTTGTTTTTACAAAAAGGTCTCATATCGTTGTTTTTCTTAAAGCAGTATCTTCAGTAGGGAGTCATTTCAATACCGCACGACCCTATAACAAGTTTCACACAGTGACTTCAGAGCTATTGTAATGTCAGACTTAAGAGTTACAGTTTCTGTCTTTTGCGCCAACAAACATAGAAGGGTAAATATGACGAGAACATATCTTTTCCAATCCCATTTCTACGAGAAATGAGAATATGCAGAGAAAAACAATGAAACTCTGATTGATGCTGGTGATGCTGAGAAGAAGCAGCAGAAAGAACAACGGGGGTTGACAGCCATTTTACATACACATGTTTGTGCAACAAGCTTCCACAGTTGGAATTTGCCACCGACAGAGAACTTCATTTTTAACTCTACCTCAACTGTTCATTCATCTTCATGGTTTCTCTCTCGACTTTCCTCATCTACTCAAACACTGCAATCGTACTTCTTACACTCTCAACCTCTGAATCAGCTGGAAAATCCATTACATGTACTCAAGACCTCAAGCATGCATTCCAGCCTGTGCACACACACACCAAAGAATCAATAACAGACATTAGTGTGTTATTGACAACGCCAACTGAAGTTAACAATTTGGTGCAACTGTAGGCGAAGCCGCGTGGCAGCGGAATGAGCCGGTCCACATGTGGTTGACAGGCATTAAAGAGGCCCTATTATGCTTTGGGGGTGTTCCCTTTCCTGTAGTGTGTTCTATAGATTTTTGTGAATGTAAATGGTCTGCAAAGGCGAAAATCCTAAAGTTCCTAACATACAGTAAAAGCATAAAACGTATCACAGTAGAGGCACAAAATACAAATATCAAACTGAAAATGAGCATAATGTCCTCTTTATAATCCTGCTCTCGCTCTTGCATTTCAATTCAAGGCTTTTATTGTCATTTGTACATAGCTACAGTGTAGTTATGACAATTAAAATCTTAGGTCACAGGCTCCTCCAACAGTGCACACAATTAAACTGATAACAGTGCAAGTAAATAAAATAAAATATAAATAGTGCAGAATAGTCTATATAGAAGTAATTGGAATATTGATATATATAAATTGCAATATTCCAATTCCTTGGTTTATTTGCACTTGTAGGGTGACAGTCACAAGCTTTACTTACACACACACAAATGAACAGAGCAGCAGCCATAAAATTAAACCACAAGTTAAAAACTTTTGTTTCATGCATGAAAGGGGCATCATTGTAACTATTAATGAATCCTTTACAACCCCTCCCTTTTGAATCCTATTCCCTTTTTTTCTCAAAACAAATTAAGTCAGGCTCTTTAGCTAACAAATACATGTGTCAGTAGCATGGCTGCATGATGCTCTGTGTAATTAGGACCATCACAGAGAAAGCTGTCATGATTGTAAGAAATAATAATACCTGTATTATGTTGCACCATAGCGCTTGGATTGGCTGGGATATATTGGATGGAATTACAAAAGCACCACTTCTGAGGCAATCATAGATGTCATTATCAGACAATATCGTCGTTTCTGAGAATCCCATGCAGAGCCAGAAAAGGACACATAACAAAAAGCCCAATAACAGTAGCTTTATTTCTGTGTGTGTGTGTGTGTGTGTGTGTGCCTGTGTGTGTGTGTGTGTGTGTTTACCTGGTATGTGTCCCACAGTCTGATTGTGCAGCGCAGTGGCAGCTCCCTCATCAGGAGGTTGTTCATCCAACGGAAGGCGAACTGCAGGTACTCCACCTCGTACTGCTGCATGTGGCGGTGCACGGACTCTGCCAAAATAATACAAATCCAATTTAAAAAACACAATACGACAGATTTATTAAAGTTCCACTGCTTTGTCCGAATTCCAGCAAAGAGAAAACCGACGTCTCTAAAGCTATTCCTCGAGGCAATAGTAATGTTGACAGTAACAAGTGTGAGGATAGACAGATTCCTCTTTGTTAATAACTACTGCAGTCAGTGTCACACACACACGCGCCTCTTCCTCATAAAAGAGATGTAATTACAGAGCGATCACAATTGTCAGAGAAAAGCCACACGGCAAACTGAGAGGAGAAAAGCGAGTGTGTTTGTTGTTGAATTAAAACAGCCCAGTGATGAACGGAGAGCATATTACTGCAGGTCAACATCTAGGAGCGAGGACATGTTTATGTAAGGTGTGAAGCGCATGTTCATAATTTCTTTTGACATTATTGCTTTCACTTGGAGTCGATTAATAATGTATTTTTTGTTTATCTCTGTCATGCAAGGTCAATATGTGCAAAACGCCCTGTAGGGTTTTCATAAAATTGCCTTTTTTCTTTTTACAAAGGGGAAGAAAGGTTGTGATTTAAATATTGCATAAGCGCAACACTGATTTTAACTCTTTAGTATACAGATATGTATGTGATTTATTGATTTATAAATACTGTTACTAGGGACACTTATCTATCCTCCTAAACTTAAACCCAAGACACTTTGCCTTTTGAATGTGTAACAATACATGATTCCTCCGCAGAAAGGTTATTTGGCAGTTGCTAAAATGCATGTTTTTATGTATATATTTCAACAAGGACCATGCATACAAATACATTAATATCAGAAAAGAGAAGATATGAATTATGCCAGATTATAGCTAATTTTCACCTGCAGTCCTCAGGCAGGTACATAACAATCAACAAACACTAAAAACATTGCATAATCTTTATCACACAAACAATTATAAAACATGATTTAAGAACAGGTCAATAAAATAATACATAGTACATAGTACAGTTCAAATATAATATTACAATACAGTTCAAATTGAAAAACTCAGATTACACTGTAATTAATGTTGGCATGACTGGTGTTACTAAGGAGTATGTCAAATAGTTGATTACCTACAGTATCTCTGGAATATTAATAATGCCTCCATAATTTTGAGTTTAGTCTTTTAAGGCTGCTGCTGCCAAACCTCAAGCGAAGCAAGGCTTATAAAGAAATGACATTAAATGATTAAATTGGCCGTTTATTGGAAAGAGAATTACTAACCCGTCATCACTGTGACGATACAGACTTTGGCACAAGAAGAAGCAAAAATTCCTTTCCTTTTCCCCATTAAGAAAAGGCTGTCAATATATCAATGTATCCCCTACAAGAAATCCAATGAAAAGTCCACAACATAATGTGTTTTATATTATATCATAAAGATAAATGTACAGATAGATCTGAATCTTCAGTTCAAAATGAGTTTTTAGCAAACGTTATTCTTACAAGAACAGTGTAAGCTAAACAATGCCCATGTTTATTGCAATGAGAAAACATATCTGTTTGTGTTACTGGCTTTTTGATGCATTTGTTTTTATTTGGAAAAGAAATGTCTTAAGATAGGTATGATGGATTTCTATGTGCACAATAGTGTATTTAACTTAACTCTGGTGCCGATAGCAGCTGAAAATAAACACAATACCCAGTCAAGGCTGCAGTTTGCACTCAGTTTGTCTCATTAGGCTGGATTTTTCCAAATATAAACATCGCGTGGCTTTTAGACGTGTTCATACGTCTCCTTTTACCCATGAAATATGTTTAGTTTCCTCCTTTTTTTTATGATTGGTTCATTTGATGTCCTCACTTGGAACAAACCACCCAGAGAGAGAACCATACGTTGCGTGTGGCGATCACAATATGTTCTCAGCGTGGAGATCAAACACCAGCGTCAGTGTCGCGGCACTCGGTGACGAGAATGAAATGAGGGGAAGAAATGTCAGTTGGAAATGTGCCGCATATACCAGGCTGTGACACTGACAACGGCTGCCTTTGTTCGTCTCTCTCTTCATGATAAATGTTTGTTTTATGCTTCTTCACATAACAAAAGATTAAAAATACCACTTGGTATTCAGCGCCTCCCTTATTCAGAGTTATCAAACCTATGACACTCATATTCTCACACACACACATTTTACAATAGAGCTGTAATTAAAGAGCTGCCAGAAATATGATAAAAAGCCAGTTAGGGAAGAACTATTGCATCCTCTCACTCTGTGCTCTTCATCAGGGCTGAATGAAAAGCACGCACACACTTCCATACACAGATTTAATAAAGCTTTAATTGCTGAGGCTTTATGTAAGATATTTCGAGGGCAAGTATACATACTCTAATGCTCTCAAACACTTGAATGACACCTGCCTTCCATGTTTGACATTTATGCACACGTACTCCTACCACACGAGCGAGGTGTTAAGTAAACAAAGCGTTTGTTTCACATTCTTCTCCGCAGTTTAATTATCACATGCTGCTGTAAAAGCATAAACAAGGCGGGCTCATTAACAGCGAATGCATCACAGTGACAGATCGTAGCCTGCTGCCAAACAGAGAGGGAGAGAGTGGAACAACTTTAGACAATGTTAAATTACGCTAATGAACTTGCTCGAGCTAATATTAGCGACTTCGCCAAACACATGGAGGGAGAGGTGCGCGGCGGGGGAGGGAATCGTTTGTCACGAGGAGTTATCTCGGCGGGAGAGGAATCATAAAACGGAAGAAAAGAAAGAGATGGAATGAAGCGTTAAAACTTTGGACTTTTTAACCGTTGGATGCCGTCCAGCTGGAACCGAGCTCGGCATGCTGGGTAGCGTAGTTATGAGGGCTGAGGGAGGTCGAAGATGACATATCTCATAGACAATGATTGACTGATGAGTCTGGTCTTGCCTCCCACTGCTGGTTAAAGTTGAGGACCGAGGCCACAGTGCCGGCGAAGCCCGCTCCCCACAGCGGACTGCAGCCCGTGGCTGGTGCAGTGTGGGTGGACAGCAGGAGGTCAAAGGTCGTACAGTGACTAGTGAGCGCCTCTCAGGATTCTGCTGACGAGGCCAATTCTGCCAGACTTCTTTTTCCTTTCTGCAAACGTAATTACAGTTACACTCGCCTACTTCCTGTTCTGCTAACGGAGCTGCTTTATTTTCAATCTGTTCGTTGTCATTTCCTTATTTATTCACTGTGGATAAGTATAGTGTTTATATGTGTTGAAATGTATAAAAAGAGAATGTACTCATCTCATTTATTTTTCCTCTTGAGTAGAGCTTGAAACAAACACTGCTGTAGTAAGAAATCAATCAACAGGATCCTGCTTTTTACTAGTGCTTCCTTTCTGTAACACATATACACACCAAGTCGTCCAGATGCAAGCCATGGTAGCAACTGCTGCTACAAAAAGGAAAATTATCCTAACAAATAAAAACAGCAATGGGGCGTCCTCTCATTTGCATAAACACATTCACTGTTGGGCAATTTGCATGTTGATGAACTTGTTCTAATGCATGGTTAGATATAAAGGAGAGATAAAGAGATCAGAGGAACATTCACGGCACGTTGACTAAACAACTTGTCTTTTGAGGAGGTACACGTGCTAACATCGAACAATGCTAATGGGAGTTATCTTCACTTATTACAAGTGGGATAATTACAGTGGGGAACAAGCAGAGACAAAGACATTACAAAGTAAAAGCCTTACAACATATTCACTGTTAGTTTCCAACTAAAAGAATCAAAGTAAAGGAATGAATGGGTTTGCTTTTTGTTGTTTTTAATAAATTCTCTATCTTTTTTGGTTTCCTTACTTCTAATGACACCTAGATCAATCAGTGGTTAGCCGTTGGGACTGGAAAAAAACAACAAATAAAAATGGAATATCCAGAGAAAACATGAATAAAACAATCTTGTTGATTTGTCATTCTGGGATTTCAGCAGCAATTCCACGTCTTAATTCGATATCAAACCTCCTAAATTGTTTGTGTCTTTAGACTCTCGAATTCTATTCATCATTTTCTGTTTCCTGGGTTTATCACGTATTCCTACCAATACATATTTAACATTTAGAGGGAGGGTAAATGGGGAGGAGAAGCAGGAGGAGTAAAAGTGTGTAAAAATATGATATTGTCATTAAAACTGCCCATTATCTCTCTGTGAATGTGCAGTATATGTATGTTTTCCCTGAATCAGACAAAGTGGTGAAAGATTGACAGATCAGCAATGTCCTCTCCTGACTGACCCTACTGCAAACAATAATGACATTATAAACACTGAGTGGAGGTCAAAAAACATCCCTCCTTCCTCCTCTATAGATCCTTGCCTCCCCTCCCATTGGCTTAACAAATACCCCATCAACTACTAATGTCCCTGTATCGGATACCCAACTGCTAAGAGGCTGAAATATGACACCCATAGCAACAGCTAACGCGTTTCCCTTGCCTTATGGGGAAGGTTACCACCTCGCTCTAATGGATAACAATACATTCATTTTGCACTAATTCTTTCCCAACAAATCTAAAATGAATGAGCTGCAAGATTAAGTACCATTAGCTCTGGTAATGTAATGGATTGGAAATCTGAATAGAAACATACAAAACACATTAACACAGAGAAGAAAACAATAAAAGATATCATAAAATTGGATCATACAACGCGGGAATTCCATCAGGATGGATGGTATATCCGAAGCGGTAGCTAAAACACCTTCCTGTTGTGAAGAAGACAGGACCTCACCCTTTATCCAACCGAACAACGCTGTGGATAACCCAGCATCTGATAAGCGCTGATGGGTAATTTTGAAAAAGATGAGAGGCCATTGTTCCCAAAACAGATGCTATGTCGACAGCGGGGCGAAAAACAATCCTGTAACACGAGATAAAAGCTATCTGTGATCTCATTAGGGGTGGTAATGTCAAGCTAGCGAAGTATAAAATGGCTCTGCCCCAACTATGATGACAGGGCACTTATGGAATAAGATACAGTAAAAACGTCAAGTCATTCTTTATGTCTTTGCTGTGCTGTGGCGGTGCTTGGGAGGACTTTGCTTCTTTATTTTTTTCCATTAACTTTTGTTGAAAATACACCAACCCTAACCACTTGGAACAACAATCTCGCACATTGCCCTTTCTACCGGCAAGTTCTTTGCTGTCACGGTCACACATGTAAACAGACAGGCCTGCATATGCACACTAACTTTCTCTGACATTCACTTTCCCCCCCCACACACACACGTCTATCTATTTGAATGCAGCGGGTGAGTCCTCCCTCCCTCCCTCTGGCCGACAGAGCGGGTGACAGGATGGTTGGACGGCTCCAAGGTTAGCCAAGAACATGACCATTGTACAAAAGGCTTGCTGTGTTAGACCTTGTTCTGCACACTGCTACCAATGCCAGTTTATTTTGGATAGAAAGCCATCAGAAAACATATTCACAGTTATTGTTTTGACAACGTGTAAAAGAGAAGGAGGAAACAGAAGAAGAAGCAGCGTTGCTAATTAACACTAAGGAGCTCTGTATGAGTACACTCAGTGTGCATACATTAACTTCCATCCCTCGGCAAGCCATTGTTTTGCGTTAATAATCACCAACACGTTCACATTTCCCCCGACAGCACGGTGTAATGACAATCAGCCATCGCGGTGTCGTGTAACTACATAGCGCGGAATAAACAAGGCGTGAAAACAAATATAACTTCCTGGTGTTTATCTAGTTCTAACACATGAATTTAAACTATCAAAGAAAGCTAAAGTGTTAAGAAAACTGTAAGGGGGAAAAAATGATCCTCATTAAGGCACTATTTGAAGTAAAAAGAAGCAGAGGAAAGATCTCCTAAAAACCTTATAACACATTCCCGTTCTGCATGTTTACATCTGTGTGAATACATGATGGACTTTTTAATATTTAGATCATTTTTAGGCAACATGTGATTTTATAATTGATTATGAAAGGGGCGAAAATAACAGATATACTATACAAATTATTCAAGAAAGAAAAATGAGAAACGTTCCTGAAGGAAGCTCATTGTCTTGCATGTTCGATGTGAAGCAGACTAAGTGATTCAGGGGGTATTTGCATAATAGTTGCTGTTTTAAGGACAAGACATGAAATAGAAAAAAATGGCGGATATACAGAGTAAAGAATCAACTGGAAAGACAAAGAAGTGAATGGAAATCAAGTTGAAAAAGGCAGAGCTGTGAGCAGAAAGTGCTTTATGGATGGGTAGAGGGATGGTTGGATGACTTACCATCAATCCTGCTGACCAGTTCCTCCAGGGCCTTGACTTTCCTCTGGATGCCTGGCTGGGCAAATGTATAGTTGTCCTGAGGAGGAGAAAAATCAGTTAGGAGTCAATATGGGCCAAGGCTCCATCATTAAGGGCGGAAAAACGTAAAATGTTCAATCTGTAATCTGTCATTTTTCGAATTAATGCATTCCAAAAGTGAATAGACGCTGGCATGAAAGTGCTTTTGCTTGCATACATCATTATAAGCAACCACAAGGAGCAAATCAGTAAGTGGATAATACTTCAATGACCACACAGCGAAAAGTGCAAGGAAAAGCAATAAAATCAAGAGCTTAGGAGATCAAGCAGATCTTTGTCAAACATGAATATTTGTCACACTTCTCTGTAATTTCTCAGACGTGCTGTGAAATTGAGCCCTCGTTGACTAAGCTAACGTGATTAGTTTCACATTGACGTTTCGGAGCCGTTTGGCCGGAGAGTGGAAGGGAAATTTCAGTTTTTCACTTCAGGGATTCATTTTCAGAAAAATGCAATGGCCATTTAAGATTTGAAGTGTGTGCCAAGGCTCTCTGTGTTCACACCTCACACAAAGCCTTTCTTTAAAAACAGAAAACACTGGCATGACAAAACGAGAGTGGCTGTGGCCTTGAAGACAAAGTAGAGGGCTCGCTGTGAATGTGGCTGAAAGAACACAACAAGTGAGCCGTGATTTGACCAAGGCCTTCCAAATCAGCGTGAATTTGTGAAATATTCCAAAGATCTATTCTAGAGGCCTTCATTTTAACATTGTCCCGTTTTTTGTTTAAGCAGAAATGGTTTGAATAGTAAGGTTTTAAAGAAAAATACATATGGGAAGTAAAGAGTATACAACCGGATAAATGAGACTCGGATTTTACTTTACCTGTTGTTTGAGAGTTTGAATGCTAAACACGGCCGCAATTTAATGAAATTCTTCAACACTGTTTTTAGATTGTACACCATGTAGATATGTGAGAAAAGATTTCTTCAAGAGTTCAAGGTAATAGATGCGAGTCATGAATCACTTCTTTAACCAGCTACATTGTGTGCAATAAAAGCGTTGCTACATTCCAAAGACTGTGTCTCTGGTTTCTATTCAAACATTTATTTCAATGCATTCCTGGCTGTTTTTATATGTTTTGTTAATGTGAATTGCCATCTTCTTCCTTATGTTCAATCTGCTCTGTGTCTTTGTATGCACCACATATACCAAAGATGATTCTGAGGTGACTGTTGGCCCCATTAGCATGCTAAGCTAGGTGTCATTTAACCAGTGCTAGGCTGTAGATTCTGCTGTTTTGAGGCTGGCTTAAAAACGACTTGTGGTCAACCTGATTGGGGATTATTTTTGGATATGAAAACAATGACCAATCCTGAATATGATCCCAAGAGTGAGCATTGTCGGACAGTTGAACTTGCAGAATACAATACATATGAGATAAGCATTTTGTGTGTACGCCCGACACTTAAACACACACACAACAAGGATTACGTTTCCTTGAGGGGTCATTGCAGTGTGGCTGGAGAACAGCTGATGTGGCAAACTATCCAACAGATGGAGAGAGGGAGAGAGATGGAGGGAGAGAATGAGAAGGAGGAAGAAAGAGAAAGAGAGAGAGGGGGGGGGGGGGGGGGGGGGGGGGGGAGAAGTCATTTAGCAATAAACAGCTCCAGTTGTCCTTCAGGCTCAGCAGAACCAAGGCGTGTGTGTCCTCCTGAGTCCATCACTGGCTGGCAGGCTAGAAACCGCATTCTCTGCTGCATTTTATTTTCAATCCTCCATCAATAGCACCTCACACTTTTTCCATCCATCCTTAGCCGCTAAATGATTCAATATTTCTTCTTTCTACTTCTTCTCGTATGACCTACCTTTATCTCTTTCCCCCCCCAATTGTTACATGTATCAACCATCTACAAAAACTAGATTGTAGGTTATTTAGATACACTGAGTCTAGTTCAGCTGTAAAGTGTTACATATCTTGGTCACAGTAAAAATAAATAAATACAATTCCATGAGATGCATTTTAAGATGTTTTTTCTCGATTTGTATTGACTACCAAATACCAATATTGGCCACAAATATCCATTATCATTTGGGCTATAATATTAAAGCGACTTAAACAAGGGCTAATATGGGAAAGTATACTCCATGGACTTCTTCTCTATTTGCCCCATGTCACCCATCTCGTCTCCATCACTCTGTTTTTCACATTCCTCCTCCACAATCCTTCTTGTTGCTATCTGTTTAGCTCTCCGGCTCTCATTCTTTCTCTCTCCATTTCCACAACCCCGGTGTTAATGTGGTTAGTGCTAAGCAAGTGTGAGGGCCAGTAGAAGTAATTACATTTGCATTATTGAAGCTGCTGGCATTAATCAACTGCCCTTCCTTCTCTCCCCCCCACCCCCTCTTTCCTGTCCGTTTGCATTTTCTACTTCTATAACTTCTATTCAGCTCCCTCTATACCCTTTTCCCTTTACTCCGCAGGTCTCCTTATTGCTTTTCAATCTTTCAAACTTATTCTCACACTTATTTTTGTCTTTAATACCATGTCTCGCACTTTCCTTATTCCATATCTGTGCCTGGTTCTCTTGATCATATTTTTGCTCATACCCAATTTATCTTTCAATAAGTCTGTCACAGTCTCTTCGCTCAACTTGTAAAATCATTGCTTGCATGGAGCACAAAGTTTGTTTCTGTTAAAAGGTATGCCTCATTATTTATAGTGCAGTAGTGAATCAATATATTCTGTCTGTTCTTGTAGCTTTTATATTTCTGTCTCATACATCTTTCCCGTGAAACAATCTCCTGCCACACAGGGAGGTATGCATTTTATTCCATAATTTGTTATTACAGGTTAAAATCATGTTTGAATTGTATAAAATGAAGGGAAGATGGACCAGGCAGTTAGACGCGACACAGGTGATGGAACTGAACATTTGAGCTGAAATGTAAACATTTTCAACTCAGATGCCCTCCCTACCGGTTCGACTTTGTTAATAGATTTGTATGATTTGTGATCCCTTTAACTGTAGTGTGAAGTTTTTTGCTACATTGATAGCTTATTTACGCGTTACAACCACCAACTGTATTTGAATGGAATAGCATTAAATCAGCAGCAAAATAGTAATCTAATAGTTATGGACAGTTTTTTAATATGTTTCCAGAAACATGTGCCAGCTAAATTAGTTAGCATTTCTAACTTTAGCGCTATAACGTCACATGGTGTAATTGTGCTTTTTCTGCTTTAATCGCAACCAGATATAAAAAGACAACAATTAATTTGGCCCTTGTTTGTCAGTTACTTAAGGTGCTTATTATCCCTCTTGCTTATCTGTCCTTCTGCTTCCTCTGTATCAGTCATTTCCCTCATCTACCCTTCCTTTCATTTCCCTATTTTATTTCTCCATACTCCTTTATTTCCCTCTTAATCTTGTTCATTCCCTCCATACTTGTGTCCTTTGAATCCTTCCTTCTCTCATTTCCCCATATCAATCACTAACACAGCATTTTATTTTATGAATGATTGTTGTCTTGAGATACATTTGTGATGAGGTTAATCTACTACCCATTCACTTTTTTTCTCTCTGCATTATATATTTTCTTAACTGCTTCTCCTTTTTCTCACCTCTTCTCTATCACAATTCCTCCTCTTCTCAACTTTTTCCATCTCACCTCCTTCATTCCTTTGTCCAGTGTTTCCCATTATAATGCCTCCATGCTCTCTTTAGTCAGATCCAATATGTCAGATCTTTGATCAGTTGAGGCAACAGGAGGAAATCACCTCTCACTCTTTCATTATTCATATATTCTCCCGCCATCTGTCCATCGACTACACCTGACCCAGCGAGTAAATAGAACTGGCCCGCTACACGCAAAACAACATCAGACACACGACACAAACATAAAATCTTGTGTCTCTCTTTCTCGGGCCAGGTGTCAACTGCCTCTCGTTCTTGTCTTCTTTGTTCACACCGTGTCCCCCCCCCTCCCTTCTCTCAGTCTGCTGAATCAATAGCTACTCTTCACCTCTCAGTCCATTCTATTAGAGACAACAATAGCTGCACGTCGGACTTAGATTGCCTCCTATTGTGGCACAGGATGTCTATCAGCAAGCTGGACAGAATCAACACGAGAATCAACACGAGAATGCTGCCACGGTGTGTGTGTGTGTGTGCGTGTGTGCGTGTGTGCGTGTGTGCGTGTGTGTGTGTGCGTGAGCGAGCGAGAGAAAGAGAGAAAGAGAGAAAGAGAGATGACAGGTCACGATAAAGGGCAGACGACTGAAGGACAGGGCAATAATCTGTCATTCTCTGGGGGGAGGTGTGTGTGTGTGTGTGGGTGTGTGCGTGCGTGTGCGTGTGTATGTGTAGCAGAAAGTAATTGTATGAGCGAGATGACAGTGTGTGATAGGGTGTAGACATAGGCGTAGACAATTACAGTTGTTCAGAGCTACAGGACGATTTGCTCGCTTTTGTTCTGTTGATTTTTGGGTGCGTCTGCCCTGAGTTTCAGGGCACTTATCTTCTGCAGCACAAGAGAATAGGCAGTCCACAAGTTTGAGACACGGCAGATCCCTTAGGGTACAGCTAGTGCAATAGGGCAACGCCGAACAAGTTTGAAGTTACAATTATTTGAACTTTGAGCGGAGCGCTCTGTGACAAATTCAAGCTGTCCCAGACGTCGACGGTTAAAAGCTAGTGCTGTGTCTTAATTGGCGTACTTCTGTAGTTAAAGGTGCTATTTTGAGTGTAAGTGTGTCCCAATGGGAAGTATAGCAAAATGCATCTAAAGTACCCGAATGGTGCACTCAAAGTTCAAAAAGTGAAGGGTCGGACGCTGGAAACGAGGCAAGTCAAAACTTACTGCAATAAAAACAAATAAAATACACAACGTGAGCTGACACAACATAAAATAGGGTACAGTAGGAATACAAAAATAACATCATGCATTGCTTTGTTGAACTGAAACACTCTGGGCTATGACTCAACAAAAAACAAGATATTCTAGGATGAGTGATGCAAATCCGACGCAAGTTAACAGCTTTTACATCTTCAACA